TAGCAAACTTATTAAAGGGAGGAAAGAAAACCCTAACAAAGTAGATAAAAAGGGTAACTCCTTCCTGAAGTGTACAGAAACAATTATGTAAGGAGTTTCCCGTGGGAGCCAGCTGCTGGGCGTGTTTCCGTGTGCTGGCCTCTGACAATGCTCGTGCTTCTCCTCGCGCTGGCTGTGCCCCACTTGGCCCTCTTGGCTGCTTCAGCCCTCGGCAGAGCATGGCACTGCTGAGCCCCGAACAGGGCGTCGCAGCTCCTGGGGGAATGGGCAGCTGCTTCTCCCATCTTCTCCTGGGATACAGAAGCCCCACACCACCTCCTGCTCTCCCGCCCCCCAAGCTGCGCTCCAGCTCCCACCTTGGTGCTGGAAGCTGTGACCCTGCATCAGCGACCAAGTCATCACCTGGGCGTGTGTAGGCAGCATGTTCAGCTTTCTGTACACTGCTCTAATTCTGCTTTTCTCCATTTTATAGCAGAATTTCCATTTTAATAGAAATGCGTCTCAAACGTGATAAAAAATCCCATGAAAAACAAAGCACCTCTCAGGCCTGTCTGCAGAGTCTCTCCACTCCATCCCAGCAATCAAGGAGAGACCCTTCTTTTCTGGACCTCCCCCCATCACTAGGGAATTTGGGAAGTGTATTGCTTTTGGGTTTGTTTTTTTCTTTATGTTTTAGCCATATGCTAAAGCTTTAGCCACATGCCTTAGCATATGCTTTATGCTTTTTCAGTAACTCCCTCCCAAAAATGATCCGAATAGAGCTGGTCACAGAGCTGTCAGTGAACAGCATGGCTTCAAAGATGCTAGAAGCGTCAGCAGCCAAACAGATAAACATTTCTAGATATTTGGCCAGTTTCCCCAAGACTTAAGTTATGTACAATTTGTAGATCCTATTCGCTAGCTGTTCTTATCCCAGGACCCTTTGAAAGCCCCCCCATATACCAGAAAGCTGTCTAGAAACACTGGGAGCTAAGAATCTGCAAGACAATTTCTCCATTCTCCAAAATTCAGAAGCAGAATAAAAGGGATATTTTTTTCCTCTTCCTTTATTCCTTTCCTAATTGGTAGTTGTCTGTAGAGATAACACTTTCTGCACACACCGGCATGTCGATCTAACCAGTCAGAGACGCAGAGGCCAAGCAAGGGATGAGACTAGAGAAGCAGAAACAAAGGAATAACCGGTGTTTGGTCACCCGTGACTGCTGTAGAAAGCCCAGGCAGGTATAGTTTGCCTTGATTTTTGGATGAAAAGGGTAAAGCAGGAGACAGTGTTGGTGAGTAGCGTGCGCCTTTCGGTGGTACCATTGCAGCAGAAGGGAACTAGCTGCTTCTGGATGTAGGCTGCTCACCTGGACAAGGGTTTGCAGAGGAGGCGGAAGGCACTGACTTGCCCAGTGGCTGCAGCCTCTGAAAATCCCAGTTGTGTTTCTTTACCTGTTCCTGAGGCATTCACTGAGCTCACGCCAGAGTGCCATATGCGGCGGACTGAACCGCCCTCCTCCTATTCCCCCTGCCAAAAACGGGTGTCTGTCTCCCAGAGATCCCTGTCTCCCATTGGCACTTGGCTCAGACTAATCTTAAAGTAGTTAGTCTGTGCCTTTACACCTTGCTAAGGCCTCACTGTATTTTAATAGTCAAATAATGTTTTACCAGAGCTGGCTTCTTTTGCTCTGTAATTGTTTTGGTTTTCTTTTACTCCATTTCTTATTTCTGAATCATTTCAAAACAGGCCAATGGAAGTGTTCAAGTAGGTTTTTAAACAAGTTTTGACAATGTTTTTTAGTCATTCTGAGCTAAAAATAATACAAATCAGCAGGTACAGACTGGAGAAGGGTGCCTTTAGTCCCTAAAGGACTTTTTACTGCATTTGCTCCCTAGAGGGAGGCAAATAGAGAGGGGGGGAAGAAAAAATAAAAGGCATTCATTCCGTTTGTTCACCTTACTAGGCTGTAAATGCCAAGGCTTAGCTCTGAGCAGTGCCACTGCCTTTCTCACCTCAGAAGAGAAAAAGTCGTTGTCTTGTCTGTGATGAAAAATTTGGAAGGATGCTTTTCTCCCTGCTACAGGAGGTTAATGGTATGACTGGCACAAGAGGTAGGCACAGCAGCTTAGGCTCCTCTGATGGGCGACTGAATGATACGTTCGTGTTTCCCCAAGAATAATTTAGAAATGGTCTTTGGCATCTCCAGCCACTGACCTCTCCTAATTCCCCCACTTTGTTCTTGGGCTCTTGAGTATTTTTGGGTGTCTGCCACTTCTTAGCCATTTTGTAGGTGAGCTTCTTCATTGTAGTTCAGTTCTTTGGTCCCACCAGTACCTTTGTACCATTTCTCAGTTTGGATCATAGGAGAAAACACCTGAATCTCTTTTGCATCTCAAGACAGTGAAAAGGCTGATCCCATTTCCCTCCAGCTGCTTGCCTTTCTGTTACAGAGACTGCAGAGCAACAGAGTCACAGAAATCCTGATCGGGCTGCATCCTCAGCAATAGTCAGCTCTTAACCGAAACACTTGGGAGACTGTAAAATTTTGAAGTATTTTGTTTCATAACCAATACGTCACAGGACAGTGATCAGTACAGATTTAAAAAGCAAGTGATTATTCTAATTGTCTTGTTGGCTTTAAACAGCCAGCGAGCTCCGAAGAAATACAAAGGCGGGGGGGCAGGCAGCGGAATCCCGGTGGAGGTACAGGGCACAAGAGCCACTTAACTTCCCACCAGTGATCTGCAGAAGTGCACGTGCATTTAAACACACACACGCGTAAAATTAAGTATCACTTACGTTAACATCTCCAGTTGCTACGGCAGTTGCGGGAAAGGTAGCAGGATTTTCAGTGACCTGCAAATAACGTTCAGGTTTTGGATAACGTTCGCGTAACTTTGTACTGACACAGCCGAACCTGGAATTGTGAGCCCAAAGAGCCTTCCCACGGAGGGAGCTCTGTTTGCTCTGACAAAAGGTTGAGGTTTGCTCTAGAAGCGCAATTCAGCAAGGTCTGGTAGTTGCAGTCACTGCAGTCCTGAATTGTACCAGGGAATCCAGATATCTTTGTATGTGTTTATGAGCCCAATCATGCTTACCATCCTGGGGTCCAAAAATTTTTAAAGGTCAAAACCAGAAAGCACAGAAAGGGCTGCAGCAGTACCTTGAGGTATTTACAGCTCCATCAGTTTGGATTATCAAAAGAGAAACGGGCTGGGCTGAGTACAGGCACGTTAAGTTACATTTTCAGGAGGAGACAATACCAAATGCCTCTTTCAGCTACTGGAGAAGAGGCGTAGAAGCAGCAGCTGGATACTGACCCGTACAAAGTCAAATGAGAAAACAGCAACTTAACAGCGATGTTAACCTGGACAAAATTCCACTGCTGTGGGCACGATGTCCCTCTCTCTCGATGCCTCCACACCATGTTCAAATACCTTCCCAAAAAGATACTTGGGAACCGATGGGCATATTTGATACCTCCTCTGGGATAATACAGAGATTTGCATCCCTTTGGGGGTAATTCACCGCAGGGCGATGCTCTGAGCGGATGGAGGTGGGCAAAATGTAAGGAAGATTTTGCATTCACTATAACGCTACAGAGCCAGCAAAGAGAGTGTACAGCAATCATACCTCTACAGCAGTGCACAGGTTATCCAGAATTGTGTCAGAGAAAACAGTAAGTTTAAAGGGAACTTTCAGGTTAGGACCTCTTTGACAATGCAGCAGTGGCTCCTGACATGACCCACGTGGCCAGAAATTTGTTGCAAGCAGCAGGCTGAGCACTAAGTTTTGCATTTTCTAGGGCAAGACACAGTATCCAAATAGTCATTTGGCCTCCTCAAAGGAATAGCAGCAAAAGCTTGCCATGTTCTACATCTGTATTTAGTTAGACAGCTAGTAGCACCCATTTCTGTATATGCTGTGAGATCCCTAAGCTCCTCCGTGAAATCTGGGTGTATTGTTCAGGAGCTTTCACAGCTGACCACAGCAACCATCAGCCTGCGGTGAAAGCTCTGCACTGGGAAAAGGAAAATTGTAAAATGCAGATCCACTTCCTCGGCTGCCACTGAAGTCCTTCCTTCAAACTTACATTATTAAATGCAATACTTACTGAGAATTGGAATTTTAAAAAGCACAAAATGAGATGGCTCTCAGATTGGGAGTAATGCACATTTATATTTTAGGAGCATGAAAACCTCCATGAAATTGTGCTGGGAATATAGAAACACACATTATTTGTATACAGTCCCTTCACAGCAGTGGGACTTCAGCACTGGTTTAAAACTCCCTTTCTTAAGAGGTATGTTTTCTTGAGTCTGGGCCACAGAAAGAACAACTACTGCCTCAAATGTCTTAAACCAAATATTTCTTGAGGGAAAAAAATATCACCTGAAAACCTACATGTTATGGTCATTTAAATTATTTTGTTAAGCTACAGTCAGTTGCAGTGTTCATTGATAATGGATATTAAGCAGGACAAGCATTGTCCTGTATTATTTCACTGAATCTCCGTTCTCATCTTATGTACTTTTATTATGTTGGTTGGCAGAAGAGGGTTTTTTATGCTATGCGTGGATTTTTTTTTTTTTTAATAAATAAAGCTACATAACAACAAACCCACGCATCTACTTGGTTGCAACATGTCAAGGGCTAGTTACTCCCAGGCAGGAAAACTACTGCTGAAATGCATCTTTAGTTGCGTATTTTCATAGTCAGAGAACATTACACAGAGTCTCCCATTTGCACCCAACTTCATTTTAAGGTTTATCTAGTTAATTTAGCTTTAAATTAAATATGTTTGTAATATAGTTTGTGGTAAGAGATTTTTGTAGAAATAAGTTTTTAATAACCATTACACTGTAACTGTTACGGAAGCTTACACTGCATATCTTCAGTTTCACACAAAGCCCACCAGCAACTCTTCACAAATGGCTCACTTCAGTATTTTTGCAGGTGGGTACATAGCTTGCTTCCTTCTGTTGCCCACAGTTCTATTTATTATTCTATTTTGCAGTTCTTTCCATATGGAGATGCTTCAAAATTTGCCCAGCACGCCTTCCGAACCTTTGATAAAAATGGAGATGGGACCATTGACTTCAGAGAGTTCATTTGTGCACTGTCCATCACCTCACGAGGCAGTTTCGAGCAAAAGCTGAACTGGGCCTTCAACATGTACGACCTGGATGGTGACGGTAAAATTACAAGAGTGGAAATGCTGGAAATTATAGAGGTGAGATCAATGAGACACTTAAAAATAACATGTCTGAACATTAATAAAATTTGATTATTTGTTCACATACCCTTTAGATTTTAAGCACACGGGAGGCTGTACTGTATCATTAAAAATGTACATTGCATACATTCATCCTATACCGACTCATACCTCACTGATGCAAGCACACTAACATTTTAACAGATGTAATCTTTGAGAACTGCAGAAAGTACATGTGTGCATATAAGCTTTTAAGTATCGAGAGGTAATTTATTTCTTCTGATGAATGGATTAACCATAAGAACAGCACAGCAAAGGATGTACAAAGCCCATCTCAAAATCCCTTGACACCCTTGAAACTACTGGTTTGTAGCTCAAGTAGCTGAAACCTCACTGGAGATTAACTTCAGATGATTACAGAAGCGTACAGGGATAACACCGCGCCGTTTTAAGTGAGCTCTCACAGATGGGCTGTAAGATGACCACAGCACATAACAGGAAGGATGAAGTTTACCACCCTCATCATCTGCCGGCTACTTGCCACAGTAGTTAATACCGGATTTTACTCACATGTACACACAGGAAGCTATTAAAAGGTGATGACTTCTAAAACTGATTATTCAGAATTTATGTGAAACATTTCAATGGAGTGACTAAAAGCCAAATAAACAGTTGATCCAGAGAACAGGTTACAACAGTTTTAGACTGTGAAACAGAGAGCCAAAGAAATTCACTCTTTGAATGAATGCAAAATGCAACCACCAAAATAAATCTACATCTAAAGAGAGTTAACCACATTTTTTCTTGTTTCAAGTATATGGACATGAGAGTCTAAGAAAAAAGAAAAAAAATCTTTAGGGAAACTGGCAATCATTTTATTGTTGGAATAGCTTTCCAGAATTTGATCACATCAAAAAAGCAACTTAATTTGTATGTTGAATTTTCTGTTTGGTTTCTTTCCAAAGGCCATCTACAAAATGGTGGGCACTGTGATAATGATGAAAATGAATGAGGATGGTCTGACGCCTGAGCAACGAGTAGACAAGATCTTCAGTAAGATGGATAAGAACAAAGACGACCAGATCACACTGGATGAATTCAAAGAAGCTGCAAAGAGCGATCCTTCCATTGTATTACTCCTGCAGTGTGACATTCAAAAATGAGCTTGTGTACAATGCGTCACAGACTGCACAGAAGTTTAATGTTCCATTCAGTTTGCAGCTGTTTCCACACACACAAAAATTTGCTTGGACTACCTATAAATGGACTTGCTTCTTGTGTTTGAAACACTTGTGTGCATGAGAATGTCATTTGCTAAAGAATTTTAAAAGTATATATTATAAAAATAAACTGCCACAACGTGATGTGTGCAATGTCATTTCATAACAACCCTATTCCTCTGAAGCCTGTGCAGCAGTCCTGTGCTGCAGTGAATTATATTATTTATTGTTCATGTTTTACTGATGCTAGCTCTGTGTCTCCTAGACTGAGTAATGTTAGTGACACTGAATTCCCATGGTAATGTTAACTGTTTATTATAAATCATGTCACCATTCTGCTGTAAAGTAGTACTGGACGGACTGAGGGGAAGAGTTCCTCCTCAGCTCTTAAGTCTGATCCACACATGTGCTTGTATTGTCAGTGGATATAAATGTACTCCATTTGCATGCCTTTTAGGTTTGCCTTAATTCTTACCTCATTTGCATCCCT